GGCCCACGGGCCCACGGGCTCACGGGCCAGCGGGCCCATACACGGGCCCACGGGCCACGTATGTATGTATGTATGTATGTATGTATGTGTGTGTGTGTATGTATGTATGTGTGTGTGTGTATGTATGTATGTATGTATGTATGTGTGTGTGTATGTATGTATGTATGTATGTATGTATGTGTGTGTGTATGTATGTATGTATGTATGTATGTATGTATGTAGGTATGTATGTATGTATGTATGTATGTATATATGTATGTATGTATGTATGTATATTTGTATGTGTGTGTATGTATGTATGTATGTGTATGTATATGTATGTATGTGTGTGTATGTATATATGGTATGTATGTATTATGTATGTATGTATATGTATGTATGTATATGTATATATATATGATATATGTATGTATATATGTACATATGTATATATGTATATATATATGTACATATGTATATATGTATATATGTATATATGTATATATGTACCTATGTATATGTAAACGTGTATGCATGTATGCATGTATGCATGTGTGTATGTATGCGTGTATGTATATATGTATGTAGGGGGGTGGTAGGATTTCTGATTTTAAAATCAGGGGCGCCCCACCAGTCCAAGGCTCCATCCTCGGAGTTCAGGGGTGGTAAGAGTTCTGATTTTAAAGTCAGGGGCGCCCCATCAGTCCAAGGCTCCATCCTCGGAGTTCACGGGCGGCAAGAGAGTTCTGAGTTTTAAATCAGGAGCGCCCCATCAGTCCAAGGCTCCATCTTCGGACTATGTAAATGCATATATGCTACGTCTGTAAATATTTGTGTGCATGCATGCTTGCAATTGTATATGTGCATACTTTTATGTACATATGTATATGTGTAAGTAAATGTATGTGCATTTGTGTACATGCTTGTGTATATATGTATATATGTATATATGTATATATGTATGTATGTATATATGTATATATGTATATATGTATATATGTATATATGTATATATGTACCTATGTATATGTAAACGTGTATGCATGTATGCATGTATGCATGTGTGTATGTATGCGTGTATGTATATATGTATGTAGGGGGGTGGTAGGATTTCTGATTTTAAAATCAGGGGCGCCCCATCAGTCCAAGGCTCCATCCTCGGAGTTCAGGGGTGGTAAGAGTTCTGATTTTAAGGTCAGGGGCGCCCCATCAGTCCAAGGCTCCATCCTCGGAGTTCACGGGCGGCAAGAGAGTTCTGAGTTTAAAATCAGGAGCGCCCCATCAGTCCAAGGCTCCATCTTCGGACTATGTAAATGCATATATGCTACGTCTGTAAATATTTGTGTGCATGAATGCTCGCAATTGTATATGTGCATACTTTTATGTACATATGTATATGTGTAAGTAAATGTATGTGCATTTGTGTACATGATTGTGTATATATGTATATATGTATATATGTATATATGTATGTATGTATATATGTATATATGTATATATGTATATATGTATATATGTATATATGTATATATGTATATATGTACCTATGTATATGTAAACGTGTATGCATGTATGCATGTATGCATGTGTGTATGTATGCGTGTATGTATATATGTATGTAGGGGGGTGGTAGGATTTCTGATTTTAAAATCAGGGGCGCCCCATCAGTCCAAGGCTCCATCCTCGGAGTTCAGGGGTGGTAAGAGTTCTGATTTTAAGGTCAGGGGCGCCCCATCAGTCCAAGGCTCCATCCTCGGAGTTCACGGGCGGCAAGAGAGTTCTGAGTTTAAAATCAGGAGCGCCCCATCAGTCCAAGGCTCCATCTTCGGACTATGTAAATGCATATATGCTACGTCTGTAAATATTTGTGTGCATGCATGCTTGCAATTGTATATGTGCATACTTTTATGTACATATGTATATGTGTAAGTATATGTATGTGCATTTGTGTACATGCTTGTGTGTATGTGTGTATGCCCTTGTAGACAAGGAGTACTAGGCAATACTTGGCATGATTAGTCAGGGCTTCATGGGTTTATGTACATGTATAGCAGGAGCATTAGGCCATACTTAACATGATTACTCAGCATGAACGCAGGACACTGTAAATAAGGATTCAATGTCTCTCCGGCTTGCAACCATTCTTACCACCCCGACCCTAGCACTGCCCATGACCAGCGGGCCCACGGGCTCAACGGGCCCACGGGCCCACGGGCTCGCGGGCCCACGGGCCCGCCACGGGCCCACCAACGGGCCCACGGGCCCACGGCCCCACGGGCCCACGGGCCCGTCCGCCGAAAAGACCATGCCCAGTTACTGGCTTTTCTACTTGCTACTACTAAAAGCTGCCACTACATATCATCAAACACCCTGATAACACCTAGCATTGCCAGACAGATGCTGTTGGTAGTGTATGGTCCTTGCCTGATCGCTGTAACTCAGAAGCAAAACCGTATGAAAGCATTCAGCATCGATCAAGAAACATAACATATGCCAACCAACCTGACCCCGGTAGAAAGTGCACAAGAAAACGAACCCATCAAACTGTCCAAAACTCCACACCTTAAGGCCTTAACCCAAAAAGCCTAGCCGAGAGCCTAAACCCGAAACCCTAAACCCTCAAGTGCAAGCCTAAACCCTGAACCATAAACCCTAATGTAAACCTATAGGGCCTATCAACCCGAAGAACATAAAGCTCGGGTCCTGGGCGGCCTCCTTCGAGGTGTCCAAGTCCATGTCATCCAGGCCTTGCACTTGCACCCACATTCTACAGATAAAGATCCTAGGGTTTTAAAGGGGATGTACATAGATTTTATCGGGGTTCTAACAGGGATGCATAGGCGTCAAGGTCTGAGTCCGGTTCGGACTTACATGTGATCATTGCTACTCATGCAACTTGCTAAGCATGGCTGGTCGTCATACTGATGTTCTTGTTTGTTCGTACGCAGGGCTTTCGGAAAGAGATTGCCACTGCGACACTGCCAGCATGGCTTCGTTGGTGTTGCTCTCATGGTACCAGAATGATTGTGTTGCTAGCCCTTGGCCACCTGTAGGGAGTTAGGTTGTTTCAGGTCATGCACAGTCTCTCGACTCACATGCGTGAACCGGTTTCGGTCAGCGCTTTACCTCCGTGCTGCAGCTTTGCGACGTTTGGCGACGATCTACATCAAAATGTGCACACGCACTCCCTCTCTCTCTGCATCTACCTGCGGAACGAGTGGAGTAGAGTCAGAGGTCCAAAAGCTCTCAGGCAACTTTCCTGCCTGTCAGGGACATGGAGACATCAGCGACGCCGATCTCGTCGGCGGTGGTGGTTCTGTTGGTGGACTGCGTCCTGGCAAAGAAACGTGGAGGAGCATGACTACTATTACATTGACTATGACTATGACTATTACCATTATTGTCATTCATATTCCTGTTCTTGCTACTATTATGCTTTTTCTTATTCTTACCAGCTATTTTTACTCTCTTTTACGATTATTACTATTATTACTCATGTAGGAACCTGACTAAGATACCCCTTCAAAGGAACGCTCATAAAGGCCCAAGGTCTCTTATCATTATTACTATCATTATCACTACAAATATTATCATTATTGTTATTGTTATGATGACTAAAACTAGCAATATATATATATATATATATAGACATACTACTATTACTATTACTATTTTTGTTACTATTACGATTACTAGTATTATTGCTACTATTGTTGCTATTATTCGTACTACTATTATTACTATTGTTATTACTATTATTACTATTATTATTGCTACTGTTGATGGACCAAATCCTGCACTACCAAATATAAGGAATATACCATAATTCCCATAGTTTTGAGTCCTTAGGGTCATGCAGGATTTTGTCCATCAACAGTATGATGATTATTATTAGTGCTGATTCGCCATGCAACCTGAAGCCGGGCCGGGCCTTCTCTCGAGCAGGTCTTCCAGGTTTCCGAAGCGTTGGCAGATCTGCGTCACCTGCCTGCATCATTTAGGGGTTTAGGGGTTTAGGGCATCATATGACATGATAGAATGTAACAGAATATAGTATGATATTGCAATTTCATACAATAAAATAAGATACAACATGTATAAACAAATAAACATATGAATATATATATATATATATATATATATATACATATATACATATATACATATGTATATATATATACATACATATATATACATACATATATATATATATATACATATATACATATATATATATATACATATATATATATATAGCATCTATATGTATATATATATATATATACATACATATAGCATGACCCAGACCCCCGGAAGGATCTAGAAAGTAGATCCCCTAATATGGGGCTCTACTTTAACGGAGCCCCCGTTAGGGTATCTTCGCTTTGGATCCTCCCGGGGGTCTGGGGATATGATATAATGTAACATAATATGGTATGCTAGAAAATAACATAAATAAACCTAATACAGCCGAATATAAGACAATACACTACAATATCATTTGAAAGAATAAATATGTTTGTACATATGTATGTGTACATATGTGTATAATACATACAAAAATAAGTATGTGTATATATATATATATTGACATATTCTCATATGTATTACAGATAACAGACTAGACAATATATGTTATATATGTAGTATATGTTGGTCCATGGAGAGGCCCTGTCAAGGACTCAGTGGATAAGGCGGAAAAGCTGTCAAGCGAGTGGATCATTATATATATATATATATATAATACAAATAATAATAATAATAATAATAATAGTAATAATAATCTCTTCTATACTATGTATTCGTCTAGGGCTCATGTCAAGCGGAAGAGCTGTGCACCGCGCCTCTCGAGGATTCCGCTGGAGGCGTGGGGCGTCAGGGGCAGCGCGAGGATGCCCAGCAGCGCCTGCTAGCAGGGCTAAGCACGTTGGCACGGAGCCGTGAAGGAGAAAGACAGAAGAGCAAAGAGAAAGATGGAGGAGGATAGAAAGCACTTTAGAAAGCAGCTGTGGCACAGACGATCACACGGGCTGGCCTGGTAGGCCTTTGCCAAGTTGCGCCCGGCATTTGGGCCAAGCCCGGCCACGCCGACCTCCTCCACCTGAGAAAAGCAACCATACGTATACATCTAGCCCGCAGCTCTCACCCGCCTGCATGTAGAAGTCCGATGGCGGGAATTGGAAGGTGCCATCGTTCACGGGCACAAAGCTCAACGCCTGAGCTCCTGGCAGGCGCGAGGCGGCAAGCATCCGGGCCATGTCATACAACGTCCCTGCAGATCTTTCTTGAAGCTGCTTGCCGCCCTGGCACGCATCTGCCCGATCTGGAGCGCGAAGTCAGGGTCCTCGAGGACTCCCTTGCTCAACAAGACCAGCGCGAAGGAGGCGCTGCTGGCCGCCGCGATGTCCTTCAAACTCCGAACGCGGAAGGTGGCGATGCGGAGCTGCTGCTGCACCATCTGCTGCAGGATCAGCCTCTGCAAGCGAGCTTGCAAGTCCGAAATATGTAACGCGCTTCTGCGACGGCTGCGACTGGCTTCGACTGCTGGCAAGGCGCACGGTGGAGATGGCCTCTGGCTCCCGCTCGGTGGAGCAGAGCAGGATGCGCGCGCTGCTCACGGAGCCCTGCGGCGCCACGTCCGCCCGCCGAGCGCCTGGTGAGGAAAAATTCGTGACAGTGCCTGACACGGCCTCATGCCGCATGAGGGGTGGGCCCCGCCCCGCCTCGCAGCACGGCAGCGGCCACGTCCAGCACCAGGCGTTCCTGCTCCTCCAGGCTGCTGTGACGGCTCAGGGCGTAGCCCTCCAGCGTGCTGATGTGCCGGTAGGTGGCCTGGCAAGGGCACTGCAGATTTAACAGAAAAGGGCGATCGCAGAAATCGCAGCGAATCGGCGCAAGCCTTGATGTCCTCCATGGCGATGCCGTGGCTCGTCAAGGTGTATTGTTGCTCCTCGGTCCACACGGACTCGATCTTGTTGATGCAGTCTTCGTCCGGGAAGGCGAAGCCATCGCAATAGAGCGGGATGATGGGGATGCCGTACTTCCGGGCACTCGTCATCTCCCCTGCACACCACATGCCTGGCTGGCGCATGGGTCGAGAAGCTTGAAGGGGTAAAGAAGAGGGGCAAACGAGAAAATGCAAACTGCAGCACGGGCACGCTGCAGCAGCTCGGGTGTGAGCACGGCCACGAGGCACCGCGTGTCGGAGCTCACGATCTCGAAGATGCGGGCGAGGTCGTCAAGCTCGTCGGAGTCCAGGAAGATGTTCATGCGGCCGTACTTGTGCACGATCAGCTTGAAGAAGCGGCACAAGGCCCCGGCACCTGCCTTGTGGTGGCAGAGGAAGGCATCGTACTTGCTCTGGGACCGCAAGCGCACGGAGACAGCCATGCAGGCCGAGGAGAGCGCTGCCAAAGGCAAGACGCAGAGCACGCAAGCGAGCAGCACCGCTACCAGGAAGCTGGTGTCCGTCTGGTTCAGGCGCAGCAGTGGAGACGCGAGGAGCAACAGGATCAGCAGCGCAGTGGAGAGGACCAGGTCGTTGTAGTTGGCCACCTCGCTGATTAAGATGCGAACCTAAACCCTCACATTGCAAGAGAATCCCATGTGGTGGTGGCTGTGCGACTGAGGCGGCAGCGTCGCTGCGCCAGGGCCAGAGAAGGCTCTGTGCCGTTAGTTTCGTGCAGATCACCGCGCCCATGATGCCCACCTGCAGCGCGGGTGCCGCCACCAAAGCTGCGGGGATCAAGGCCACCACCATGTTGTGCGCGGAAAGCAGCAGAGCGTAGTAGTAGCGCTCGGGTCGGAAGCGGCCGAAGAGGAACTTGTACTTCTCCAGCACCTCCAGGCCTCCGCCCGACCGAAGCCAAGTAGGATACTTCCACGTCAGGAAGGCGATGGTGGAGAGGATTGCCACGGGGTAAGCGAGGATGCCCAAAGAGGCCAGCACCACCAAAGGCCCATGCTCCGGGCTCCAGCAGATGACGTCCGTGCGCGTGGACATCGTATGCAGGCCGTTGGGGTTTGGGCGGCACTGGAAGGGCCGCATTGCGGTGAGGGACATAGCCGTCAGCAGTGCCACCAGCAGCACGCCGTGTAGGTTTAGGAAGGAGTTGAAACTGATCGGCCGCTTGACCCACCTGGCGAGTAGCCAGAAGCCGACGGTCCCGAGAAGCACCGCCGGGTAGGCCAAGAGCTGCGAGCCGTACTCTACGACGTGGCTCTGCGGGTCCAAGATGCAGGAGAACTCGATGTCCAAACTGAAGATGGCCAGCGAGGACAAAACGGCCCTCGCGGGGTCGATCCAGGTGATCTCGAATTGATAGATGGCCTCACACAGTGCCGGGCAAGAAACTATACACAGGTGGAGCTTGAATCTAGAAGCTCTTCTGAAATCAAGCCTCGAGGGACTGCAGGCACACTACCAGTTGCCCGAAGATCACACAGACGATAAAGATGCTGACGGCCACCCGCCGCGCTCGGCTCATGAGAATGCTGGCTGCCACTAGCAGCGGCAGCAGGCCCAGCATCACAATCGGAAGCAGGAGGAAGGGCCACATAGACAAAGCGTCGCAGGGCTTGCACGAGCCGTCCACATCTGAGGCATAGCCACGAAAGCAATCGGCACAGGCGCGCCCGGTGCGCCCAACATTGCACTGTCCAGGGTCACCAGCTAGACATCGTGAGGCGTCGCGGCAAGAGAACACCGAATAGTGGCTGAGGCCCCCGATGTCAGAATGCTCCACCCAATAACCCGCCAGCTGGTACGCGGGAAAAACGTTGCCCGGACAATACATGCCCTCCGGGCAAGACAAGCACTCCGTCTCGTTCCACAGATACCTTCGCAAAACGTGCACGGGCGAGAAGACAGGTGTCACTGAATAATGTAGGGGCCTTCAACCTGTAGGGTTTTGGAGCCATCACTGAATACTCCCGCCTGCCCGGCTTGCAAACACAATCCCACTGACTGGTTGAAGCCAATGCTATCGTGGTCTTGCTTTCCTCACAGCTCCTGCACTCTGTGGCGCCGAACTCCCACTGGTACTGGCCTGCGGACGGGGAGAGCACCGAATGCTTCTATTAGACACTTGCTGATAGCTCTGCACCCTGCTGTGCAGTACGGCATGTCATGCATCGCTACAAGGACGATGGCTCGAGTAGCAGAGTGTCCAGCGCTGTGCAGTCAGTCCATCACCCCGCCTAAATGCGCTTGCTGATATCGGAAAAAAGAACATACTTGCCACTACAGTCTATCCGCCCTAGACAGAGTAGCAACACATGGTGACATCAGAAAAGAGTACCTTCTGTCGGAGAACCAGATCACCAACGCGAACATGTTCCACCCTCTGACCTCCAACATGCACACATTGTTGTTCTGTCGTACGCACCAACGAACTGTCCGCCGATGTCCGTTTCGGTGAGTCCCATCCGTCACAGGCACACCAACATCTGCATAAGCACAGGCACTTGGTTAAACACAACATCTGCACCAGAGTCCAGTAGGATCTTAAAGGTACTTCATTGCTTCTGCGTGCCCTGTACTCCCCAAGTGTTGCTGCCACAGCGGTGTACCTTTCCCTGGTGATGATGCGGTCGACAGAAAACAGCTCACCGAACACAGTCTCTAACAACAAGAAGCAAAGCAAAAACGCGCTTGAGATCCTGGTGTCCTGAAAGATTGAATTCGACCCTGTGCTGCTCCCAAAGTCTGTCGTGGGACTCTCAGGCGATGCAACCAATACTATAGGGGCCTTAATAATTAGAATAGGGTTTTGGGGCCCATTTTTCTATAAGTATGATAAGAAACCCACGAAATAGTATTGGCAATTGTTCAGGCTCTATGTCAGAACCATTTCAAAACTGAAGATTTCGTCGAATGGTAGTCCCAAACATCACAACACGAAACGTCGGAGTGGAGATGTCGGAAGAAACTGAATGCACGATGGTTCCTCGAGGACAAACTGAAAGTTGAATGGAAGCTGTACACTGTAGCACTCTTCTAACCAACCCCTAACCTAAGATCTAAGCCCAAAGACCTAAAGCCCCAAACCCTAAACCTTAAAACCCTAAACCCTAAATCTCCGACCTTGCGGGCACCATTGACACTGCGTCGCCCCCCACTGGTCCGCTTTGGTGCCTTTGGTTAGTAGGGAAGGGAAGAAGGTAGTAATAGTAGCTATAATTGTACCCCATCCCTCCATTCCCTAATCCCTAAACCCTAAACCCTAATGCCTAAACCCTAAACCCTAATCCCTAAACCCTAAACCCTAAACCCTAATCCCTAAACCCTAAACCCTAATCCCTAAACCCTAAACCCTAAACCCTAAGCCCTAATCCCTAAACCCTAAACCCTAATCCCTAAACCCTAAACCCTAAACCCTAAACCCTAATCCCTAAACCCTAAACCCTAATCCCTAAACCCTAAACCCTAAACCCTAAACCCTAATCCCTAAACCCTAAACCCTAATCCCTAAACCCTAAACCCTAAACCCTAAACCATTCCTCCATTCCCTAACCAAAGGTCAGCTGTGGTGCCGGGCAAGCAGACATCGCAGCTCACGGACATGGCCTGCTCCTGGCCTCGGTCCGTTTGGGGTTTAGGGTTTATCATAGGGATCCTTAGGGGTGTAGGGGGAGGGGGGGTAGGGGGCCTTAAGGCCCATAATAAGGACTAATAAGGCCTATTTAAGGAAATATAGTCCCCTACACCCCTCCCCCCTACACCCCTAAGGATCCCTATGAGTTTAGGGTGTTTGGCCCTACCTCCGAAAGCCCTAGTGTAGGAACCTGATTAAGATACCCTGGTCCTAATGCCCCAAAATAGTAGGATTCATAAAAAGAGCCCTGATAAAGGCCTAAGGTTTCTTAATGAGGTTCCTACATTACCTCCGAAAGCCCGTCCCTGAACTGTGTCAAGCGTGATGAAAATCCGGTCATAAGCTCAGACAGGCAGCTGGTGCCCGGGTGGCACAGACCTCAGACAGCTCCGGCCCCCTCAAGCAATCGCACTCCCTCCGCTCTGCGCCGAGGCGCGGCACACCGCCGTGGCGCCAAGGTCGTCCTCCGAGACTCCAATATCCCTTAATTGAGGGATGTACCTGAAACCATTTTTAACCTTGGGAATCCTACTATATACTATAATTGAAGAGTGGATGTACCTGAAACCAGTTTTAACCTTGGGAATCCTATTATATACTATAATTTTTAATATTGGGAATCCTACTATATACTATAAGAGTCTCTGTTCGTCCTCCAGGAGCACAGAGTAGCGCCCGGGTGGGCAGGAGCTGCAGGTTGCATTAGGCGACCGGCTCGTCAACCAGAGCCCATCCTGTCCACAAGGTAACTGTCCAGAATCGCGACAATGGCACTACATTAGAGCGATTAGGATCCAGACAAAGTGAGACAAACTAGGGAAGAAGGGCAGCTGCATAGAGCCCAGAGGCTTGTCCACTCCACGTGAAAGGGCGACAGAGCATGGGCCAATATAGAAACCAAACTAACAGCCAATGAGAATGTGACCATATATAACAGCACGATTGCATACACAATGATGTAAGATTAAACTATGTATGTATGCATGCATGCATACATGTATGTGGTTGCATGTACTAGCATAACAATCTCAGAGTATTGTATATAGCCCCTAACCGCGCAACGTGTACGAAATGAAATGTACTAACGTATCACATGGTAGGCAACCAGACAAACACGTGCAACAAAATGCCATGCCTCCTGCATGCCCTGGCCGGCATAGCAGTTGGACTGCTCTGGCATCCACCCCTGCCACACAGACGTACACGTGGACACACTGCCCTTATTTACAGTTCAGCGCTGTCCAAGAAGGGTACATCATGCTGCGCCATCAGAGTCGGGGCAGGACTGCAGCCAATGAAGCACGACACCCTCTGTATTGCATCGTTGCCTGCCATGTCTCTCTGTTTTGCTGCAGCCACTCGCACGCTCCCTGCCAGCAGGCACCCCACCACTCCTCCGGGCATGACATCGCTACACCCGCAAGCCTAAAATTACGGTAAATCCTGAAATTGCCACCCGGACATCTGGTGCCGCTACCAGCTATAATGGACAGTAAATCTTTCGCCGCTGCGCAGGGAGACCAGCTGGGGCAAACAACGGGTCGAGCCTATAGAGATTGCTTAAATACAGCTCCATCTGGGCTGTCCAGGGCTCTGCCTCCCTTGGCCGGCCAACCGCGGGTGAGCCGAGAACTAGACCGGGAAACCCTGAGAATCCCGATAAGGAGCGCCCCCAAATCCTGAAGCCTGGGGTTTCAACAAGGTCGGGGCTCCAGAAGCACAGAGCCAGAGGAACCGCATGCCACTGAAGTGCTGCACTTGCCGACATTGGATGAGTTTGGGCCGAACCAGAATTGGAACAAAGACTTGGGTGGTCTTGCCGCCTTATGCGTGGGATGGCCCACCACTGCCGAGCCATTGCAACTTTTCGCAGAGAGAACTGATAACTTTCACTGCTGCACCACAACCACGTAACAGCAAACCCAACCACAATTGCGCCGCCATATCCGCAGGAAAGAGAGATCCAGAAGACTCAAGAGGACCCTTAACTCTAAACCCTGAACCCCCAATTGCTACCACACTCCTCGGGCGTCAACTCATCGGTCGAGGACACCGGCAAGGCAGTTAGGATCTGTTGGAGCGCACTCGTGCTCTTCCGCATCATGTCGAGGACTTCAGGCAAGTCCAGCTCCTGAGGCACAGAGTTTCGGCTTTGCGGCCCTAAACCCTACACCCTAAACCCTTCGGGCTCCCTTTTTGTTGGAGTTTTTGCTCAGGGATTAGGATGTTGGATGCAAGGCTGTGTGGGTTCTGATAGGGTTTTGTCAGTTTCTTTCGCCGTCTCTTCTTGGCCTGGCTCTTCTCGTGGCCAAGATCCTTAATAATTAGAACTGTGTTTCGGGGCCCATTATACTATACTTATAAGAAGGAACCCTCAAAACAATATAGGTAATTATTAATACTGTACTTATAAGAGGGAACCCTCAAAACAATACATGAAATTATTAAGGATCGGAGTTGGAGCGCTTGGAGCCCACGATCTCCTTTTAAGGTCTCGGACTCAAATGCAACGAAAAGCCTAGGGTTTAGGGTTTAGGGTTTAGGGCCGTTTCCATGAACCAAAGTACAAGGCAACTACAGCACAGAGGCCCCAACTCCCCAAACCCTCAACCCTAAAACCCCAAAACCCCAAAACCCCCAAACCCTAAACCCCTAAAACCCCTAAACCCCTAAAGCCCTAAAACCAAAACCCCTAAAACCCTAAATCCCCGAAACCCTAAAGCCTCAACCCTACTCCGTGGAGGCTCCATGTTCAGCAGCAGTCCCCTCGCATCCGGTGCCAGGAGGTCCTTCGGGCTTTCGCGCTGAGAGTCTCGCTGCAAGGCATCGGAGTTGTCGTTTTTGGGGTTCGGGGTGTAGGGCTTAGGGTTTAGGGCTTAGGGTTTAGGGATTTAGGGTGTAGGGTTTAAGGATTTAGGGTTCTGGGGTTTAGGGTTTAGGCATTTAGGGTGTAGGGTTTTTGGGGTTTGGGGTTTAGGGCTTATAGGGTTTTGGGTTTAGCGTTTAGGGTTTTAGGGTTTTGGGCTTACGGTTTAAGGGTTTGGGGTTTAGCGTTTAGGGTTTTGGGATTGGGTTTGGGGTTTGGGTTTTGGGGTTTTGTTTAGGGTTTGGGGGTTTAGGGCATGCGTGCCTTTCCGCAGCCTATCAGCGCCGAGCAGCCCACTACCCTGGGGTGAGTCAGGACCTTAAGTTTTAGAGTA